ATGTTCAAAAAATTCACTTCTAACTCAGAGGGACAAGATGATGTTATAATTCTCTAGTGTGAAGAAATTTGAGATGCCCCAGACCAGACAGTGCACAGAAGGCAGAAGCGTATTTTTAAATTAGTATCACCCTATCAATAAGTGCTTCATTTCAGTGAACAAGTTCTTCAGTTCATCAAGACTAAACAATGCTGCACTTGGCTATCAGATCAAGGATGGCAGAAAGTTAGAAAATCACTGATTAAACCACACTAGGTAAAATATTTCCCTAGGAAGTATGAAAAATGGAAAACAGTAGTGAGCATGAACATAGTACAATAGTGTACTTCGTGGATCTTGAAAAAGTTTCAGAGAGAATGGAAGTCTATGGTAAATGCAGCAACTGCTTCAACAGAGGCAAGAGAAAAACATTTTAACTGTGAAAAGGGGGTACTCAATATTTATGTAAAGCATAAGAACAGGGATGATGCTGGCAGCAAAACAGGAATAAGCTGAGGTTCTCCTTTCTACTACTAGGTAATTAAATTAAGAGAATCTTTCATTAAAGGGTGATTTGAGTAAATGTAAAATAGTGGTTACAGGGAATCTGTGACAATGATACCTTAAGAGAATGTAACAGTGCAATAAATGACAACAAGTGAAAAAAGGTTTTTTTATTTCTCAGTGTTTCTCCACTGTCAATACTGTCCTTTTGCTGCAACGTGGTGCAAAAAACTCTCTGCCTTTTCCATTTTAAACAGCTACAATATTTACAGGCTGTTTCAAATAACACACGCAGACACATACACACTCACAGACACGCGGGTACATATATCCCTATCCCTGGCAAGGTATCCATTTGCTGGTAGAGGCAATATATATTTTCATTGTCCATTAAAAACCAAAGCCATCCTCCCATTTACACTCTACTCCCCTCTTCCTCCATTTTCTAGCCAGCAGCTTATAGTCAAACTTTTGGGGGCACCTGTTTAACAAGTTAACATATCCAGCTATTTGATCACCATCTTTCAGAGTTGTGGACTAGGTGTTCTGGGATTATCTATTCAAACTGTACATACAGAAAGTCATAAAAATTGCTCATATTCAGATGTTTGTGACTGAATGATGTATGTATACTCCTGAAATCTTCTGGAGCAGCCATCTTAATCACCTTTTAGAAATATGCATATCATGCTGGGGTGAAAAAAGCCACATGCTTTACTTTCCACCAAGGTGTTATGTACCCACTTTTTTACTAAGGCACCAGTAAATACCAGTATAATTTCTGAAAGAGTCCAGCGTCACTGAATGTACTGCATCAAATAGCAAGCCAGACAAGAAAAGAATAGTTGCCTATATAATAGGTATAAAATTCCTTAATAAAATTAAGTACATAAAACCTGTGGTGGTATAACCCTAAATCCAATATAAATTGAATAATATTTGAATAATAGTTAATGGTAAGAAATACAATCTATCCTGCTCCATTTTGTGAATGGAGAGTTCTGTAACTGAGAAAGATCTTCAAAGCAGCATCTTTGGATCTACACTCCCAGGTTGTATGGTGGTGTGTGCATTATCAGAGAAACAAACTGAAGTGGAATCCCATTTGTAAGGCATCTCTTCTCTCCCCTTGCCCAAGTCAAGTCAAAGCTTTATGGCCACTTGCCAAACAGTCAAGGGCATGGACCTGTGCCACAAGTCTTCATCTTTCAGCTCACCAGTCATCTAAGCTTCTCAAGGAGTTCTTCTTCAGCTTCCAAAGGGGTTGTGAACATAGTGGTAAGGAATGCCTGGTAATGAACTACACAGCTGACAAAAAAACCTGAGATCACCACTCAGAAACACATCAAATGTCCCAGGCAAACTGGCTGTAAGACCACTCAACCTACATGGAATTACCTTGAAAAAATAATAATACAAAAATCATCTTTCCCCTTGCTCTCCCCCACAACTCGAATAATTTCACAAATGCTCAATCATGAGACCCAGAATTCATCACAAATATCATACAGTGCAAGTGGCACAGAAGTCTAGGTGTCATCAGTAGTGTCACATACACATTTTAGGGTTTTGTTCATTTGTTTTAATCAGAACATTTTAAAAGATTTTACAGGGAGGTGCAATGGGAAGAGGTTTTAAAAAAAATTAAGTAGCAGCCATTTTACCAATGAACATAACCTGATCAGTGGGGGTTTCAATCATTTTCCTGTCATTACTTGTTTTACGGAGCAGTAAATCCTTACGTATGTACACAAAGATACCACCTTTAAAGGAATCCGAGAGAAACAAAATAGATTGGGATCTACTTTGGAAGCTAAAACAATGGGATTTAACTGGAATGTTCTTACGGCAAGAAACTATCACACAATGCAAGTGGATAGAGTTAAAGCACTTATCTACAATGGGTTTTCATGGAAGCTTAGGAAGATTTTAAAAAAGAAATCTGCTTTATGCTGAACTCAATTCTGGACTGACAGGACTAATTTGAAAATACCCATCTTTTCCATACTCACAAGAGGAGAAAAACATTGTGCATCAAGAAAAAGGCCAAAGGAAACAAAAAAGATGTAGTTATCTCCATCTAGAAGAGAGGTTTCCATGGACCTATCTATCCTGTGGGGAGTTAGAACACAGTTTTGTCATTTGCACAGTGGAAACCAAGACAAACTTGCACAAACCAACATACGTATATGTATCTTAAGAATTCAGAAATACAGGAAAGCTTTAAAAAAGTTAATTTCCCAAAGCCTTATGCAAGAGTGAAATTTCAACTAGATGGCTTCTGTTGGGATCTGGAATAGGTATGAGCACTATGTGAATAGCTTCACAACAAGCGTTTGCTGAGTAGCTGAAAGAAGGTGTTAACCTGTTAACTGGCCACATTAAAATCCACCTCCTGTAGGCAACATACCAAAAGCCTTAAGATTTAAAAAAGAAATATAAAGATCCATCAATCCCTTTGATCCCTTAAAAAAAAGCCTTTCTTTTTCCCCATCTACTGTTTGCTGATCTAATTCCAGGCAGTTAACATAAAAATTCTAGAGAATATTAACAAGCCATTAACTCCTATCATGTCTATGAACAGCAATGGACCTTGTCATTATCTTGCCCTGAAAGGAGTGAAAGAGATTGTTCGGAGCCAGGGTTAACATATTTAAAGTTGCTTCAGTCAAGTTTAAAAAAAACCCCCAAAACCAACCCTATGCATTTTGTTTTCCAGTCATTTGTTTACCTCAAGGCTTCAGTACAAGAAAAAACAAAACAAAACAAAACACCCCTCATGCAAATAGGGGCCTATTTTCAAACAAATTCCTCTTTCTAAAATGAAGCAATATTCCTAGTGATACAGGAAACCCTGTAATTACCTGAAGCAAAGGACACAGAAAAAAAACCTTAACTAAAACACCTTCAATTCAAAACAACACATTTTCTTCATTCCTGACAGCAACATTACCAGACTGCTGAAGAACGTTCATCTACTGTACTACATTTTCAGATATGCAGGAGTTGAATTCAACTATGCTATAATGTGCACATATGATAAACAACATGGAACAGTAAAATTATTTCAATGGTGGCAGATCCAGAACTCCATCTTTATACCAAGATTAAATGGGACTCTATATGCATAAACCAAATAGTAATATGCAACTGTACGATGCATAGTACTTTGAGTACAAGTTTGCATAGTATATGATGTAAGCAAGGTCCCAGTGATTCCCTGGGAACACTATCTAGAACTGACTAGCCACCACGCACACAGCCTTACCCTTTCATGGCTAGATGGCATACAGTGACTTGAGTCAGAATACCAGTATTTCTTAGGTAGCTGTTTCTTCCTTTGTTTTTTCTCATCCCATATAATTTCACTCTTACATTAGGTACATAATGGACAAGGGTTCTCTGATGTCAGAGAAATAATTTCAATAACCTCTGTGGTATATCAGAAGTCTCTTCTGATACATATAAGGAAGCATTACGTTGCATATAAAGAAGCAGAGGTGACTGGGAAGAAGATGGCTGCTCCCAAAAGCTAGGACTGTGCGCAGTTTTCCCCACAGAGTCCTACATAATTATAGGTCAGAACAGGAAACAATCACAACAGGTATGGTTTTTTTCTTATGGATTAAGAGAAGTGAGTCATAGGAACTGTAAGTCAAGAATAAATCAGTTTCCCTCTCACACTCCCATGATAGTTACTTGTTTCCCTGAATACACACTTTAAAAAAAATTACAATAAAACCTAGGATATGTAACACATGAATAATTCAACTTCACAGTTATAAATACTCAAATTACACTTACATAGAATATATAATCACAGAAAATAAAATTCAAGTCATAGAAAAGAATGAAGACTAAAGGGAAAGAAAAGGCAAGGTGGTAAAAGTGATACAAGTTTAGGGCTGTGCCTTCTATAAAAGCTCTTTAAAAGTTAAAAGTCAAGTTTTTGTTGAGTTTTTTTGTGTGGTATTTTTTGCTATTGTGGTGGGTTTTTTTCTTTTTTTTGAGGAGTGGGGGAGGTTTGTTGCTGCTGTTTTTTCCTTTTAAATTGGATGTAATAAAAAAACCTCCAAAAAAACCCCCCAAAAACAACCCTTCAAGCATCCATGAAGGAAACATGGACCTGCACCTCTCCCTACAAAACTCAAACAACTGTCTCTGCCAGAGAAGAGCCAAGAAACAACACAGCCAGCTCTGGGTATAAAGAAACAAAGTAGCCATGGCTAGCTAAGGGAGGACAGATGAAAGGTAGTATATTGGGGTCCACTTTAGAGCTAGATGTGTTGTACAGATTTGAGGTACCACTGCCACCACAAGAGAGTCTGATGTAGTACAGGGATACTCAGGTACTTTTCTATGTATTTGTTATTTTATCATTTATTGTGAAGAGGATGCAGCAAATGCACTTGTATGAAATACAGAACATAGAACCAAACCCATGGCACAGCCCTTACCAGCAACATGTATATGGGGGGGGGGGGGGGGATTAATCCCAAAGGCAATTTAAATAATGGTATTTTATATACTTATATTTATATATATAAATAAATGTTCTCAGCAATCTCAGGGTTGTTTTTAGTGCATTGCTGTAAAAAAAAAATTAGTGCAGTTCTCATTAATGTTTAGCTCATAAGGAATAAGAATCTATACATCTGTTCAGTCTCTTCTTGCCACACCTGAAACCTTTACATTGTTTCACCAAACTGAAGGTTTGTAGTAAATTTCTTTAAAATAAGGTGGATGAATTCCACGCACTCTGTGACAAGACATGTCAATTTTTGGCAAAACAATTAGAAAAATATGAGGTGCTCTGATCTTAGAACTGAAAAGTTTGTTGATTTAAAGCATTACGCAATGCATAAAGAAAATTTATAAACAAAGAGATATGTCTCAACAAACCTATCCTTCATGCAAATATTTCTTCAGCAGCTAACAACTTAAAAAATTTCTTACACTTGTTTATTTGGGGAAAGGGACTTCAACAAAACTGTGTTTCAAGTCCTTTCCTTTTCCTACAACTGGACTGGTTTCATGTCCTGGGAGCTGCTGTTTCTGGACCCTTCTTTTCTTCTGAACCGTTGGAGAAGGGGAAATTTCAGCTTCAGAGATTTACACTTCAGCCCCAAGTTCAAGGACTCCAGTTTCAACAACAGCAACATATTTATCTTCGATTTGAACCAGCAGGATGGTTTTATCTATATGGGACCGACTACTTGGATCTCTGCTGCAAGGCACCCAGCGGTGAATCACCTGGGGGGAAAAAAAAGTATAATAAAACATAAGTTCCATAGAGAGAGCTGTCATATCAAAGTTGTTGCTGATAATTCAAGACCCTTACAAGGCAAAAGGAGCAATAATATAAATGCTATACTGACTTAGTTGCTCATTTTCCAATGACAGCATACCCAAAGATAAGCTACTGATTGAAGTCTTGCTGGAGATCTGCAGCTTATGCAAGAACACTTTGATTTGAATTTCAGCAAGAACAAACAACTTGACCCAAATCAGAACCAGTCATGCAAAGCGAGTAACAATTGAAAAAAGTGTTCACATACAGATTTGGGACATTTTGATGCTTTAGCTGTAATAGTCTTAAAATACCTCAGTGTCATGCAGCACGTAATAGCACAGAAATGCAGTTTATCAGGAGTTAGATGAGACACTAGTTTACACTTAAGTCAAATCCCTTGCCCTAGTTTTGTTCCCTACTCCCTGTAAATTTAAAGCTGATGTTTTAAATTAAATTATTCAAAGATAATTTAAAATTTTTAAAAATATTACAAAGAGGAACAGAAACAGTGCCAAAAACTACTGTCCTACACTCCTTTGGATCTACATAATTCAGGTATTTTGATCTGCTGCTTCCAAGGATCCCGCCTGATACTGACCATCAGAAGGTCTCTTTTCCATACAGGCCCTTGTACGACCAACTCTGCTCAACCGCCTCCATAAAAATACACCTTTAACTTCTAGGTGCCCCAAAGCAACTACAAGTATGCTCCAGTAACATGATTTTAAGTATTGCCAGCTCCATAGATACAGATTTATCTCAAATTTGCCAGTTGTGGGAAAAGAAACCTAAATTCAAGACAAGGTAAGGTAAAAAGCAAATAAAATTAATTTTTACAAAATCCAGGACAACACAGTTTTCAAGGGTTATAAAGATACAGGTAGGGGGAAAAGGACAGAAAACGACAAGTAATGTACATCTTCCAAGATCAAATCCAAGAAATCCCCTTAATCCTCACCATCTGACAGCTGCCAATTTCTCGAACACCGAGTAAAGGAGATTCAGCTTTTTCCACTGCACGAGATCTACACTGCATCCACAGGGAGAGCATTTCAGCCAGGGAAGCATAGCATTTTTAGTTCCCCTTTGTCTGATGCAACAGCATGATATTTAAGCAGCCTGTCCAAGTCAGACTTTATCAAAGTCTGTCCGAATAAACTTTTAATGCTGCTGTATGGAGTGAGGTTAGGAGTGAGGTTAGGAATATATCTCCAGACACATAAAACATTTCCTAATAAAGTCTAAGTACTACATCCTTGTTGTCCAACTTAAAACTGGTGCCTTTGAGATAGCTAAGGGCTGACTCCAAAGGCATCAATATTGTGGCTCCTTAAAAACTGTGTATAGGTACAAGTTGTACATAGATCATAACTCATTGCAACCATCCCCCCCACACTCAGTTTTACCACCTGTTCTATCATGATTAGCATTTATCAGGCCATAAATTACTGATAACTTGCAAAATTATGTCACTAGATAGGCAAGAAGTGATAAGAATCTCTTGCAGGGAAAAGGGTTCTTTTACGTGTCAGTGTCATGTATCATAGAAAGACAGTGCAGAGTGCACCTTACTCTCAAGAGTCCCGAAAAAAGTAGCTACAATACAAAGAGGATTGCTAAGTTTAATCTCCTTGAAGAAACTCTATAATGTCTTGGTGTATTTTATATACTGTACTGTATGCTCAGCAAAATAAACAGCAAAAATGCTTTTTTCTATGTAGTAGAAAAGTTTTAAATAACAGACTATGTAGTGCTCAGAAATTCACCCTTAGATGTCACCTGTAATATCACCCTTCAATGAGTATTAACTAAGGGTCATATAATCAGCATTGGGTCTAACACAACCTACTCCTCACTCAACAGTAAAATATATTTTGATACTTCATAACATTTAAGAAGCCAGACACAGAACATGCACCTCCCCTACTGTAATGAGTCCCAAACTTCTGTCATAATTTAGTTCCCGAATCCCTATCCTATATCTTCATGCACGAAACCCAGTATGGTGGTTGACCCTGGCTAGATGTCAGACACCAACCAAAGCCGCTCTATCATTCCCCCTCCTCAACTGGACAGGAGAGAGAAAATATAATAAAAGGTTCATGGGTCGAGATAAGGACAGAGAGAGATCACTCACCAGTTACTGGCATGGGCAAAACAGATGACTTGGGGAAAATAAATTTAATTTATTACCAAACAAATCAGAGGAGGATAATAAGAAATAAAACCAATTCTTAAAACACCTCCCCCCACCCCTCCTTTCTTCCCAGGCTTAACTTTCCTCCTCTGCTGCAGTGGTACAGGGGGATGGGGAATGGGGGTTGGGGTCAGTTCACCACGCATTGTTTCTGCCGATCCTTCCTCCTCAGGGGGAGGACTCCTTCCCCTGCACCAGCGTGGGGTCCCCTCTCACAGGAGACAGTCGTTCAAGAGCTTTTCCAGTATTAGTCCTTCCCCATGAATGACAGTTCTTCACGAACTGCTACAGCATGGGTCCATTCCATGGTGTGCAGTCCTTCAGGGACAGACTGCTCCAGCACAGGTCCCCCCATGGGGTCACAAGTCCTGCCAGCAAACCTGCTCCATTGTGGGCTCCTCTCTCCACGGGGCCACAGGTCCTGCCAGGAACCTCCT